AAATATCAAACTAGGAATAGAAGGAAATTACCTCAACCTAACAAAGTCTATATAAAAGACCCCAAAGCTAACATGTACTCAATGGTGAGAAATTGAAAACTTTTTCACTAAAGTTAGGAAGAAGGCAAGGATGCCCATTCTCACTACCTCTTTTCAGCATACTACTAGAAGTGCTACCTAGAATCATTAGTCAAGAAAATTAAATAAAAGTCATCTAAATTTTAAAAGAAGCAATATTGTCTATGTTCACAGATGACATGATCTTATATTTAGAAAACCAAGGATTCCACACAAAAACCCCACAACTTAGAATTTACAAACAGATTCAGCAAAGTTGCAGGATTAAAGATCAACATACAAAAACTAGTTGTTTTTTATACACACACAAAAAAAAAAATTCAAAAAGGAAATTAAGGAAATAATTTCATTTAAAATAGCATCAAAAAGAATAAAATACCTAAGAATAAGCTTAATAGAGGAGGTGAAAGATTTATACACTGAAAACTACTAAACATTGCTGAAAGAAATTGAGGAAGACATAAATAAATGGGAAGACATTTCATGTTTATGGATTCAAAGACTTCATGTTGTCAAAGTGTCCATACTTCTCAAAATAGCCTGCAGATTCAATACAGTTTCTCTCAAAATCCCAGTGGCAGTTTTGCAGAAATAGAAAAAACAATTCTAAAACTTATGTGAAACCATAGAGCACCCCAATAGCCAAAAGAATCTTGAAATAGAAGAAAAAGGCTGGAGGCTTCTGTCTTCCTGACTTCAAAAACATATTACAAAGTTACAGTAGTCAAACAGTATGGTACTGGTGTAACGACAGACATTATACAACAATGAAACAGAATAGAGTACCCAGAAATGAACCATACGTATGTAGTCAAATGATCTTCAGCAAGGGTGCCAAGACTATCCAATAGGGCAAACATAGTCTCTTCAATAGATGGTGTTAGGAAAGAATGTAAAAGAATTAAATTGGACCCTTATCTTACAACATACACAGAAATCAACTCAAAATAGATTAAAGACTCAAATGTTAGACCTGAAAGTATAAAACTCCTAGAAGAAAACATAGGAGAAAAGCTTTATAAAATTGGCCTTGGTGATTATTTCCTAGGTATGATACCAAAAGCACAGGCAGCAAAAGCAAAAATAGAAAAGTGGGACCATGTCAAATGAACAAGCTGCTCAGCAAACAAAAACAAAAAACAAAAAAAGAGTGCAAAGGCAACCCACAGAATGAGAGAAAATATTTGGAAACCAATGATCTGATGAGGGGTTAATATCCAAAATATGTAAGGAGCTCCTGCAACTCAATTTAAAAAATTATAAATGGGATAAAGTCTTGAATAGATATTTCTCCAAAGAAGACACACAAATGGCCAACAGGTATATGAAAAGATGTTCAAAATCACTAGTCATCAGGAAATGCAAATCAAAACCATAATGAAATATCTCATAGGATATTAGAATGGCCATCTAAAAAACAAAAAACATAAAACCAGAAAATATTAAGTTTTGGTGAGGATGTGAAGTAGTTGGGACCCTTTGTACACAGTTGTTGGAAATGTAGCCACTATGGAAAACAGTATGGAGGATCCTTTAAAAAGTAAAAATAGAACTACCATATGATCCAGCAATCCCTATTCTAGGTATTTATAAAAAATAATTAAAATCATGATCTTGAAGAGAAATTTGCATTCCCACGTTCATTACAATATCATTCACAGTAACCAAGAGGTGGAAGCACCTTAAATTCCCATCAGAAGATGAATGGATAAAGAAAATGTGGTATGTACATACAATGGAATATTACTCAACCATACAAAAGAAGGAAATTCTATCATGTGCTACAACATGAATTGACTTTGAGGACATTGTGCACATGAAAGTAATCCAGTCACAGAAGGACAAATACTGCATGATTCCACTTATATGAGGAATCTATAGTAGTCAAACTCATAGGGACAGAAAATAGAATAGTAGTTGCCAGAAGCTGGGGGAAGGGGAATTTGGGAAGTTGCTATTTAATGGGGGTAAAGTTTCAGATATGCAGGATGCAGAAGTTCTAGAGATCTGCTACACGACATTGTGCTTACAGTTAACAACACTGAACTGTGTACTTAAAAATTTGTTAATAGGATTCATTTCATGTTACGTACATTTCACAATGGAAAAGAACAATATTAAGCCTTCAAATCCATGGGAGACCAAAAAAAAAAAAAAAAAAGAAACTAAGAGGGTTTAGGACATTTAATTCTGTGTCCAATGTGTTTCTGCCATTTTAGTTGGTTTTAAACTAATCTTGTCATAAATTTGAGAAACTTGATATCATTCCACAATTAAAGAGTGGCTGCATAAACATTTAGAAAAAAAAAAAAAAAAAAAAAAAAAAGAAACTAAGAGGGTTTAGGACATTTAATTCTGTGTCCAATGTGTTTCTGCCATTTTAGTTGGTTTTAAACTAATCTTGTCATAAATTTGAGAAACTTGATATCATTCCACAATTAAAGAGTGGCTGCATAAACATTTAGAAGGATATTTTTAAAGGTCTAATCAAAAGTAGACAGAGAATTTGGCACAGACAGGGAAGAGAATGCAACTGCTCTAACGCACCACTGCCTACCTCCTTTTTAAGAGGCAGCACCACATTTCAGAAAAAAACTTAAAGGCTTTAAGTCCAGCTGAAGGTAACACTTCCTAAGCACCTGCTGCACCAAGTCACTAGAAAAAATTCCAAGGATGGCTTACTGTGGAAACATCCTTTCCACGGTTCCGCCTGGTTGAATAATGAAGTGTGAATGGATTTGCTTGATTTTACACGGTGACAGACAGACTCAGTCTCCTAACTCTCTTAGCTTTCTCGTGGTCTCTCTCTTGCATTCTTTTAATTAGCTCATAGAAAAACTTGCATTTGAGTATTGTCTTTCTTGTAGGCAGAATGTATTACTGTTGGTTTTCAGAGCCCTAACTGAGTAACTTGGTGCATATTTGTTTGAAGAATCTTTTGCAACCCAGTTGTGATCTTGTCATAAATTTGATTCCTGTGCCTGTGTCCTTTGACATTGATGTGTATGCCAAGGCTGTGTTTTTATCAGTCGCTATCCTGGACACTTAGAATAAATCTAGTCAACTTTCAAAGCCTCTCTTCTTTTGAATTGCTCTCCAATTAGTTTAGGTGATGATTTTATTTGCCTTTCTGACTCTTTACAGCGATTTTCCACAGTGATATTTTTTAATCCCTGAGCTACAAACTTCTTGAGGGCAAGGATTTGATCTGTCTTGGTCACCTCTGTATCTCCAGAGTCCAAAGCAATTTCTGGCACATAACAGATGTATAGCAAATATTTGATGCATGGCTGAGTATTTACATGAAGTTATCTTTTTTTTTTTTTTCATTTTGTATTGGACTTTTAAAAATTGACTTTAAATTTGTGTTCTCTGTCTAAGAAAAAAACAGACGCTACATTTTAAAAGAAGATATTTGATTATGCTTAATCTCTTTTGCTTTTGCTTTCATACAAAAAAATAAAAATACCAAGTACCTTTTTTACTTATTTTTAAAACTGAAGTTCTGTATTCTACCAAGAATCTTTCTCTAAGGCTAATGTTGAAATAATTAAGTGCATTAAATGTCAGATTTTCTTTACGTATTAATTAAAGCTTAGTATTTAGTATACTTTAGGTCTAATAGTTATATGAAAGTAGCCATTCTGAGCAGGAAAAGGAAAGATAAAGGGCTGGCACTAATTGATTCAGGGTCAATTAATAGAGAAGTAGTTAGACAATTAGACTGTTAAGTAATCTTGATCAGAACAAACTCTTGTTATCCCTTATTGTTCAACCAGCAAGCAACTCATAGAAATTATAGTATAGAAATTATATAATTAGGTGTCTGTTACTGTTTAATCTTGTCTTTGTTATACTTCAGTAAGTTTATAAGTACCTAGGTGAAAGCATAGTTGTTTAGTTTGTACTTTACCCACAAAAATGCATTAAAAACATTTATAAGATTTGGTGATGTTTCTTGTGTACTTTCTATTGACTTTTGTAGCTTTGCCACATGAGAGAAAGATTATTTTTTTATTCTTAGTGGCCACTGCGTGATATGTTATTAGGAGCTGATTTGATTTATTACGTTTAGAGAAATACAGAACTATGTGGATGTAGAACTCTCCATGGAATGTTTATAAAGGTTGAAATAATGAGCAATAAGGTATTTGAAGTTTCTAAAAAGACTGTAAAGTTTTGATATGTATATATGTTATTATAAAAGACTAATTTTAAGCAATTTAAAATTAAAGCTTTGTGTACAAAGTATTATATTATTTATATTAATAATAGCACAAATAGGAAGCAACATAATTCACTGAAACAGGAAAATCTTATTTAAATAATAAATATATGTCAGGAACCATGTTAGATGCTTTGAATATATTATATTACTTAATTTCTAACATAAATGTATAAGCTAAATACTGTCAGCCCTACTTCCTGATGAAGTCAGATTCCTCGAGGTTGTCCCTTTACCTAGGCCATATTGCTGGTAAATGGCTGACTCGAGTTTGAAATGTTCTTTCTCCTAAACCACCCAGTAGATGACATGACTAAAAAGACTGGAGGCTATAAAGTGACCTAAGTAGCAACATGAAAATATTCTAATGATAAGTGAAAACATTGGATATAACATTGCACATCATGTTGTCATCACAACTTAGTTAAGCTGTATTTGAATGAAAAGGTCAGAGTAAAATATTATAAATGTAGGGTTTGTACTAGACTGGTGGAATTTTGTGTGATGTTTTTCCTTTATTTTTTAAAATGTCTATAACTGTGGATAAATTACCTTCCAATTAAGTATTGTTTAGAGTGTCTGTAGCATCACTTTAGTTCATCAGTCAGTGAATCTAGAAATCTTAGTGTTTTCTGTATGCTTTCTGAAAAGTTGCATGGTCATTTGGGCTTGTATTTGTTTATTTTTTTAATTCCAGATTATCAAGTTATTAGATGGAAAACGATCTCAAACTGTGGGAATCTTGATATCTAGTTTACATTTAGAAATGAAGGATATCCAGCAGGGTAAGTCTTTCCTGTTTTTTCCAACTTAAAAATTTTTTAAAACATTTTATTGTGAAAAATTTCAAATACATACAAATTTAGAATGATGTAATGAATCCCATGTACCCAATACCCAGCTACAAACCCCACCAACTCACTCTTGTCTACAGCACCCTCTCCCCGATCAGCTAGATTATGAAGCAAGTCTCAGACATTTGACAGTTTAGCTGTTACAAAAGTTAATACTACCACTAAAAGATAAGGATACTCTTTTAGACAATTCCAGTGCCATTATCATGCCTTTAAAACATTTCTCAATATCATCACATACATAATATTGAGTATATAATTCTAATTTCCCTAATTATCTGTATACTCATTAATTTATCCATTCATTTACAGTTAATTTGAATGAGGATCCAAACAAATTTTGTGCTTTGCCTTTGATGTGTCTCTCAAGTTTCTTTTAATCTGGAGGTTTATATCCTCCGTCTTTTTTTTCCCCTGTGGAAATTCATTTACTGAAGAAACCANGATGTTCTAATTCCATCACTTCTTTTTCATTAGCTGGAATACTTCTGTGGATAAACACGTTCATCAACCATTTGGTTATGCCATTGTTTCTTAATCCCTTCTTTTATTTTTTGTCAGCCAACATTATTTCTACTTGTCTACTTGGTTATCTTTGGCTCAGTTTTAAATAAAAGGCATTTAAAGAGAAGACATTTTATTTGTATTTTTTTTTCTTTTTTTTAGTCTCTAGAAAAGTGGACTAAAGCCATCACACCTTTTTGAAATCTATGTCTTGCGTGAAAACAACACTCCTATTTCTCAGTAATCAATTAAATGTAAATTCTTATTTTGACTTGTCACTTATAATACATTCTGAGTGGTAATACAATCTGTTAGATGGTTTCAGTAGAATTTAGCAAGGGTTCCACAGTGGAAACACTCTGAAACCACATTGCCCTTTAGGTTTTAGTTCATGTTGCCCAAAGTCATTTTATTCTGCTAGTCAGCAGAAGACTCCCATAGGCCCTGAACTAAAAGTCACTGAAGATATTTTCACACACTACTTTTCCTTTCAAAGGAGCTTTGTTAAGGGCTTAAATATTTGCTGTGTTGAAAAATTTTTTAATTCCACAAAAAGCTAAAAATATCCTAAAAGAGATGGCAGTCACAGAGTATTTAAATAAGCTGTCTATTTTAATATTTAAGCTCAGTAGTATAAATGAATACATACGTGTGAATATTAAACCTCAGAAAATGTTGCAGTAGTTGATCTGAGTTTGGGGCAGACGTGTTTACAAAGGCCCACCATTGAAATTAGAATAGGTTTCTTTAGTGACTTTAGAAGAATCTAGAGTTCGATCTTCTAGATGAATTGTTTTTGGTAAGTTCAAATCAGGAGAATGTGATGCTAGGGCAAAGAAAAAATGGAAAAACAAATCACTGCAGGGGAGTTTATTGTCTTTAGGTAAGGTACTAATTTTTTGGAGGGAGTCATTGATATTAGAAAAGGATTCATTGGGTTTATTGGAAGAGTCTTGTCCTAAACAAGCAATGTTCTTCATGAGCCTGGTGAAACTCGAGTGTGCTTGGTTTCATCACCAAGATGTGTAACACCATGGATATGAGTTTTCACAAGGTCAGCATCACTTTAGACTCTATTCAGTTTGTTTTAGGCGTGTCCTGCTGCAGTACATCAGATTGCCACACAGATAAGTCATTCCAGCTGTGTGATGTTTCACTTACCAGCTCAGAACCGTAATTCTTCTCCCCATGGCATTCCAGCCTTATTGGACTGAATGTTCATTGTGAGTTGGATAAAAGATTAGTTCACGCAGACTTTTTCCAGTATTCTACTCTAGACAAGAACATGCTTACATGAACCAGAAGTGAACTTTCATTTCAGCATTAGTAAGGTAGATTGTAGCATCACAGACTTCTAGGCCTCATGGAGACTATTTTAGTTCTTTCTTCTACCTCAGGCACCTCTGTTATCCACCAGAGAGTTGGCTCCTCAGTTCTAAAAAATCATCTACACTTTCTTTCTTCATTTAGTGATGCATTCCAGATGAATATGGCAATATAACTAGAGGTTAATTTTCTTTAGAAGCATTGACTGACACTGGCGTCTGAAGGTCATTAGGAGCCCAGGCTGTGTCAGTTATATTTCATTCTGAATCCGTGTCTGGTCTCGAATGGAATGCACTTGGCCTTGTGTTGTCATCCTGGTGAAAGAAGTACCTGTGCTGACGTTGGCCTAAAACGTTTATTTTAATGTGAGTGGGGCTGCAGTGAGATCTGATTGGGGGAGGTCAGCACCTGGCAGCCAGGCCGGATCTTGCAGAATATCAGGCCTGGTGAAATGAACACAGTTCAGAGGCTGTTCTTCAGCCTTCTGCTCATGTATTCATCTTTGTGCACAAAGACCAGAGGCATTAACTTGTGCTTTCCACACTCACAAGAACCAGACAGCTAGTGTATTCGCTTAGAGGGGAGAATGTTCCTTTCTGTTGACTAAAATATTTATCATATCTGTTCATTGTTTTCCCCATATCCTTTTGTCTCTGCTTGGCATTCTGTCTCTGTTTATGCCATTTTCCCCACTGAAATGTCATTTCTATCACTCCGTCTCAGCAAATGCAAAGTAAGCACACAATAAATATTTTTTGAATGAATGAACAAAAATATAAATGAGAAGAGATAGATGAAGGCTTGAATACAAAGAAACAGGCATAAATGGGTTTGGAAACAAAATGCCTGGTTCTTGGAAAGTGTGCTATAATACAGTTGGGAGGAATAGAGGTGTACCTACAGGCATCCGGAGAGCTGCAAGCATCCCAGTTTTCTAGATGACAATGACATTTCAGTCCTGTCTTACTGAGATTACAGCTTTGTCACCTTGATGACAGCTTTGGGTATTTTATTAACCTGGCTTTTACTGATTCATCTCTTAAAGAGCAACCTATTTTCTTCGTGTGTAAGGTGAGTACTTCTCTGTTGTCCACGGGGCACTGCCTGTAATGTACATTCAGGAAGTGGAGTTTTGGTGCTCTATATCCCAAGGTCTTACAGATGACAAGTAGCAGAGCCAATGTTTGTTCCTTTATGTCATGTTGCATCTTTTTGCTAGGAATTTCTGGGATAATTAAACATTGTTTGCCACCAATTAGGCTAATGCATCATATATAAAAGTCATATATTCAAATGCTTGTTGAATTTAATTTGATTTAAAAAAAACACATAGACTAACTCTTAGACTAGATAAAATCAGAATGTCATGTATTTTATTTCAGTGCATTTGGGCAAAACTGCCTGCCTGCTTTTCTCCCTCCCTCCATCCCATCCCAAATTTAATTTGATTTAAAAAAAACACATAGACTAACTCTTAGACTAGATAAAATCAGAATGTTATGTATTTTATTTCAGTGCATTTGGGCAAAACTGCCTGCCTGCTTTTCTCCCTCCCTCCATCCCATCCTTCCTTAAACATGTATTGAGTGCCAGCTCTGTAACAAGCCATGACTACAATAGCACATAAGATCAGAATCTAACATTCTCAAGAGCTCACAGGATGGTGGGAGAGATGTACAAGCAGGCCAAGATTACAGTAGAGTGGGCTGTGAAATAACAGCAATATCTTGCCTCTTGCTGTAAAATTTAAGATGAGTCTTAGAGGAAGGAATGGTGGTCATCACACAGAAGGAGCTTTTCCAGTTGAGGAAAGAGCGTGGAACAAGACATGTGAAGAGGAGGCAGAAGTGGGGTGTATAGAGTACAAGTGGATGTTGAGTGGTTTCAGGGTACGAGGCTAGAAACACAAGCGGTATCCAGACCAGGAAGGGCCCTGAATATCATCCTATTATCACATCAGTAATGGGGAGAAGAAATTTCAGAGGGACAGTGCTGCAATCTGATTTGGAGTGTGGCAGTATCTCAAGCTGTGGCATGGAAGACTGACCTCTGAATCCAGAGCATGAATCTCTCACTTCGCTCTGCTCTGGTTGCCTCCCCTCACTGCACTCCAGCCAGCCACAGTGGTTGCCTTTGGTTCCTTAAAAATGCCAAGTTCTTTCCTTCTTCTGTGTCTTTGAATACGCAGCACGTTCCCTCTGTTTGAAATGCTTTTCCACCCCACTCTTTACATAGCTGGCCCCTTTCTGTATTGTGGGGATCAGCTTAAATGTCACTTTGAAAAGTCCCTCCTGGATCTTCCCTCTGTAATATAAGTCATCCTAAGGGAATTCTCTTCACAGCACTTACTATTTTGTCTATTGACTTAATGTTTTCATTTATATCCACCACTAGAATATAAGCTCTAAGAGGGATATTGCTCACTGATGTATCCCCAGCACTTTGTGCTTGTGTCTGGCACACAGGAGATGATAATCAAATGCCTGTTGAGTGAATAAACAAAAATAGTACTGAATGTGAATGAGTCTGTTAGAAAGGGATTGTAATCGTTCAGATGATACATGACAAAGTTCAGAACTAAGGCTACGTCTATGGAAAGGTAGAGGAGGAGACCCACGTGCAAGGGATTTTTGGAGAGACAATTGCTACAGTCATGTCAGATAGAAGGAGTGATGGAGAAGAAATCTTGGCTGTACCTTGGGTTTCTGGCTTCAGCAAGAATGTGTATAATGATGCCATAAAACTAGAAATGTAGGCACAAAAGCAAAGGTTGAAATAGGAAGATGAATTCCATTTTGGATGATTTGAGTGAGAAATGATTGAGGACATGTAAGCTAAAGTGTTCAGTGAGCATCTGAAAATTCTAACCTGGTGGGTGCTAAGTGGACAGGGCTCAGGTACCAATGTAATATACTCCAAAAGTAACCTTTGTCTGTTTCTTTCTACTCAAGATGGTGTTTGACATCTTGTAGGAGAAAGCCAAATGCATACACTGCCTGAAGTTTAAAACTCTGAATCACGAAAGGAAAGCCTTTGGTTGTGGAGGAGGAATGGTGTTTTGGGAGGCTGACAATGATATCCACAGAATTCATATTTAGTCC